CCAGCTAATTTTTTGTAGTTTTTAGTAGAGACGGGGTTTCACCATGTTGACCAGGATGGTCTCGATCTCTTGACCTCGTGATCCACCCGCCTCGGCCTCCCAAAGTGCCGGGATTACAGGCTTGAGCCACCGCGCCCGGCCTATGTAGTTCAATATTATATAAACTAATTTAACATGAGTGTACACAGGGTTGCTCCTATGCAAATTAAGTTGAATGTACTTACAAGCCTCTTAATAGCGGCACTAAAGTAGTTACAGATGTTAATAATAAAAGATAGGAAAACATCTTAAAAATCTAGAAAGATTTTACACTCAGGCTGTTTCAAGTTTTAGGCTGAAGCTGGGAATATTCAACTGTACATTGAAGGTATTGTTTGTGCCAGAATGCAAATGAGCTTATTTATAATCAAAGTAAAGCCACTACAAATTTGGGAACTGATCTACATATATACATTTTGATTCCAAATAAAGTATGTATGTATTTCTTTTTCAATTCCCCTCAGTGACTACCTTTTTTCTTTTCTTTTTTTTTAATGACAGAGTTTCGCTCCTGTTGTCCAGGCTGGAGTGCAATGGCGCAATCTGGGCTCACTGCAACCTCCACCTCCCGGACCCGAGCAACCTCCTGCTTCAGACTCCCAAGTAGCTGGGATTACAGGCATGTGCCACCATGCCTGGCTAATTTTTGTATTTTTAGTACAGACAGGGTTTCTCCATGTTGGTCAGGCTGGTCTCGAACTCTCCAACTCTGGACCTCAGGTGACTCGCCCGACTCAGCCTCCCAAAGGGCTGGGATTACAGGCATGAGCCACTTCGCCCAGCCCAGTGACTACCTTTTCTTCCTTTTGAAGAGAACTAATTAATACTGATCATAACTGTGTCAGCTAAGAAGGCTACACTGACCTCTGATCTAAAGGGAGGCAAGTCAAAGAAACTCATCCCAGAGACAGCTCAATTGCTACAAGTCACCTAAACTGCTGAGAGGAGTCGGTGCAGCCTTCCCGTAATTCTGCTTTTGTCACGTCTCACCCACCCACTCCACCACCTCCTCCAATCCCCAGTGCTGAGAAAGAGACACCAGTTCATACCCATCCTTTTTGTAAAACTCCAGCATCATATTATCCGTGGCGACACTGAGGGGCCGGCGGGCCTGCTCAGGCTGGCGCCGGTCAGCGGGGTCCATGTCTGGGGAGGGCATTGAGCTGTAGTTGGCATTATGGTTCACATGTACTGGACTCCCATAATTGCCAGTAATGTTGAATTCTATCTCTGCGGGGAAGAAAGAATTGGTGCACGTGAACACTTGGTCTCCCACATCCTTCCTGGGCAGGGGAGTGATGATTACAGCCACCCAATCCCTCGTATGTCATCCCAGAAAATTTCATCCCGTGGTTCCACATATTAATTCACCTTATTAATATAATGCATCACATTAGCAGACCAAAAAGGGGAACACATGTGATCACCTAGATAGGCATTTAATAAAGCAATGTCAATTGGTGACCAAAAAAAAAAAAAAAAAACTTAGTAAAAACAGAAACAGACACTTTCTGCAATATACGAAATCATCTTTCTAAAACCTCATGCTTAAGACTAAAAGCACACAGCTGTCCTAATCAAATATGAAAAAAGGTAATGCCCACTATCACTACCATTACTTAATTCCATTTGAGAAATGCTAGCCAATGGAATTAGTCAAGAAAATAAAATAAGAGGCAATATTCGTATTTATAGATGACGTTACTGCCTTTGTGGAAAACCACAGAGAATCAATTCAAGATATTAGAAATAGTAAGAGATTTCATCAAAGTTGTTTTTTGGCTGTCAAAGAGATACACAGAAGTACTCATCCCATCCTTTCCTAGTCAATGAGAATAAATTAGCTCTGCACAATTCTGTCTGCCTGCAGTGGTAATGAATTAGCTCAGCCACAGAACCTATAGGATTACTGCCTTGACTTCTATCTCCTTTATTTCTTTATCTTGATTCCTAACTCTGTGTTATCAACACAACTCTCAGGGATTCAGCAGTTCAGACCTTAAAACACATGAAGCAAAAGAAAGACAAACTTCTTCAATGTTAGAACAGCATTAATTGATTACCTCTAATGGGCAGAGCATAGAATTACTAACATATTATCCTCACATGTCTTAACAGCTGTTGTGGCACAGCCAAAAGCATTCCCTTAATGTCTACCAAACATAAGGTACAGTACCAATTATTATTTTTTTAAGCAGATGCCAAATTTAATGTAACAACTGCTGTCTCTTCAAAGCTGTCACCATTGAGAGTCATCTACTTATGGAATGAGGCTTCTGTGGCTCAGAACATCTCTGAAGCTTCCTCTTAGGAAGCTGCCTTAAGAGCCTAATTTTGAAGCTGGCATTAAAAAAAAAAAAAAAAAGAATCTCATTGCCTTTGAGATTGAGCTCCACCTTCACAAGCTGAGGGACAACTCAAAGGCACAACCTAGTGTAGCAAAAGGGGATAAGGCACCCAGATGATCTGTTAGTCCTGAATAAAAGTCCCCATCCATATCAGGACTCAGTCTCCCTCTGCATCTGTAAAGTGAAGGATTTGGAGCAGGGAGTCTCTGTTTCCTTCCTGCACCAGCATTCCAAGATTTGTAGATTTGAAGAAAACATAGTATGGATATTAGACCAGTAAAATCCATGGACATGGTTAGTACAGACAGTGGACACTTTCAGGCCAGAGCGTCCCTTGAAATAGAGATTACAGAATAGGAAGCTGAAGCTACCCTGGTATGTGGATGCCTTTGTGTGTGTATGTGTGCATGTGCATGTGCGTGTGCGTGTGCGTGTACGTGTTTATAGGTGAATCAAAAAAAAAAGAAAAAAAAAGCCCGTGGGCAGTGGTACTTGGCTTCAAAGGCTCAGGACTCGCAGTGATATTCCCGTTCCCTGCCTCCTGCCCATCCACCTAGGTGCTGTCACGTACCCCCAGGGAAGAACCAGTCTGCATGCTGGATGATAGGTTCAATGATCCCAACAATTTGCAACGACACGGTGGTCATCATCTCTGTAATGTTCCTGTAAGCAGAGAGCAGAGGCAGACAGGGTGAAGTTACCAGCTAAAGCAGGGTTTGAGGCCCATGGTCGTCTGGCCGCAGAGCCCAGGAAGGGGCCCTGGACTGGAACCCTGCAGGCAGAGGTTTGAGAGCAGGCTTTCTCTTGGGAGGGACACTTCACCTTTCTGAGCTTCTCTTTTTCCATCTGCACAATGGGGATAACCCCAAGGCCCATGAACAATACCTACAAAGCCACTTGTAATGTGAGATGCGATTCTCCTCCGTCCCATCCCTGTGATTCTTACCCTCTTTCCAATTCTGCTGTTTCTGGAGACAGCCCTCTATCCCTATGAATCTTGATGCTGGGACGTGTCCTCTGATGACAGAGACTAAGAGCTTGCCTGGCCGGCGCCACCATGTCCTATGCCCTTTTCCCCCATCCCAATGCTGACTTAAGTAGCTCAGAGAAGACCCTTATTTCAGACCCGTAGCTCTGGGGTCATCAACAGAAAGAAAAATGTGCAGAATGTATGCCTCCTCCTCAGCCTAAAAAAGGACCAGGCCAAAAGAGACATAGGGTTTGGAAAATACAAGAGGCAAGTGCTTAGCTGGGGCCCCAGCTGGCCTGCCCCCCCGCCCAGGCCCTGCAGTCCCACCTGCTCACCCACATGGCTCCTTCGCTCTGTACTCACCCTTCTGCTTGTGGCCATAGGAGGTTGGGTCCTAAAACAATCGCCATGTTACTGGGAGTCATCTTGTTTACATCTTGATATTCTGACAGCTTGGATAAAAATTTAATCAAGTATCTAAAAGGAAATTAGAAGGGCCAGGTTTAAGCAGGGCTCAATAACAGCCGTGTTCCCCCGGGGACTAGAGAGAAATTTCTCTCATGTCACATATCTCACTGACAAGGAGACCCATGCATCCTACAATGTAATGAAGATGCATCATGTGTCAGGAAATGGAAATTCTGCATCCTCTTTCCAAAAACAGAGAGGCTCAGATCTCACTGGGTCAGGTGTGAACTAATACTGGCCAGGAAGTCTCCATCTTTGCCTCTGACTCAGTATATAATGACTTGAAGCACCTCGCTTTTGTTGTTGTTGTTGTTTTGAGAAGGAGTCTCCCTCTGCTGCCAGGCCAGAGTGCTGTGGCGCAATCTTGGCCTACTGCAAGCTTCGACTCCCTGGTTCAAGTGATTCTCCTGCCTCAGCCTCCCAAGTAGCTGGGACTACAGATGCGTACCACCACGCCCGGCTCATTTTTATATTTTTAGTGCAGACAGGGTTTCATCATGTTGGCTAGGATGGTCCTGATCTCCTGACCTTGTGATCCACCTACCTCAGCCTCCCAAAGTGCTGGGATTACAGGTGTGAGCCACCATGCCCAGCCACAAAACACTTTATTCAACTGTAAGCACACAGTTGAATAGCACACTATTTTTGGACCACAAGTGATCACAGGTAACTGGAATTGCAAAAGGTAAAACCACAGATAAGGGGGCTACTTTATCCTGTTTTGAAGTTTATAATTTTCCCCGTGTGCAGAAGTGATAAAAGGTATGTCTAAGTACTATTGGCAGGAACATCTACATGCTAGGATGGTGTTTCCTGGAGTTACCCTCAGTTGGGTGCTCTGGAAAGATACAATAAAGAAAACGTCTAACATAGACTTAGTATATGACCCAGCAATTCCACTTCTAGGGATAATACCCCAAGAAAGCTGCCCACACACAAACTTGTACATGAATGTTCATGGAATCATAATTACTAATAATAGCCAAAAGGTAGAAAATACCCAAATACCCATAAAGGGATGAGCAGATAAATTACATGTGGTATATCTATACAGTGAAATATTATTCAGCCACAAAAAGGAATGAAGTATTGACACATCCTGCAACATGGATAAATCTGAAAACATTATGCTAAGTGAAAGAAGCCAGACACAAGAGGCCACATATTATATTATTCCATTTCTATGAAATGCCTAGAATAGGCAAATCTGTGGTGCCAGAAAGTACATTAGTGGTTGCTTAGGGGCATGGTTGGGGAAAATAAGGAGTGACAACTAACGGGAAGAAGATTTCTTTTTTGAGGTAAGGGAAATGATCTAAAATTAGACACTAGTAATAGTTGCAAAACCATATGGACACACTAAAAACTATTAAACTGTACATGTTAAAAAAGTTCAAAGGTTTGTAAATTATAGCTTAATGAAGTTATTTTATAGAAAGAGCCCACAAAGTAGCTATATAAAAATAAAACAAATACAATGAAGAAGCTATGTGCAAATTTTAAAAAACAGCTCTGGCAAACCACACTAAAAATCTGCCAGGCCCTGACAAGAGGACCTGGAACACTCCAGGGCACATGTTTTCTCCTGGCCTCTTAGTTACAACAGGCTGTGGTCCTCACCCCATTTTGCTTGGATCCTAGTGGAGTGACTCATTTGGGATTTTCTGCTCACCTTCATCAGCCCAGTAGAAAGTCCAGAAGACTCACGTCCTAGCATGTAGTCACTTAGCTGTCACTGTGACAATTCCACCCACAGCCTCTCCTGGTCATGCCTTACCCTCCAAGAGGCCACACAGGTCTGGATCAGTATGTGGGGGCTAAGCTGAGAGCTTAGGCCAACCCATGGGCTGGGCAGCGGCCTAGGGCGATGGTCAGCAACACGCCATGAGTTGAACCTATCTTAGTCCCACTCCTGGGATTTTATTTGTAATCTACATACAATTTACTACTTTAGCCATTTTTAGGTATACAGTTCAGTGGCATTAAGTACATTCACAGTGTTAGGAAACTATCACCACCATCCGTTTCCAGAATGTTTTCATCTTCCCTAGCTAAACTTTGTCCACATTAAACAATAATCTTGGCCAGGCATGGTGGCTCACCCAGCACTTTGGGAGGCCAAGGCGGGTGGATTACCTGAGGCCAGGAGTTTGAGACCAGCCTGGCCAATGTGGTGAAACCCCATTTCTGCTAAAAAAAAAAAATACAAAAATTATCTGGGTATGGTGGTACACAACTGCAGTCCCAGCTACTCAGGAGGCTGAGGCAGGAGAATCACTCAAACCCGGGAGGCGGAGGTTGCAGTGAGCCGAGATCACACCACTGGACTCCAGCCTGGGAGACAGAGTGAGTCTGTCTCAAGAAAAATGAAACAAAAACAATAATCTCCCACCCCTAAGCCCCTGGCAACCATCCCTAGCCCCTGGCAACCACTCCTAGCGCCTGGCAACCACCACCCCATTTTTTTTCTGTATGAGTTCAACCACTCCCAGTATGTCATATAAGTGGAATCATATATTGCATTTGTCCTTTGTGTTTTGCTTCTTTCATATAGCATAATGTCCTCAAGGTTCATCCATGGGATGACAAGAATGAGAATGGCATTCATTAAATGAACATACCACATTCCGTTTATCCATTTATCTGTAGATGGAAATCTGATTTTCCATCTTTTACCTACTGTGAATACTGCTGCTATGAATACGAGTGTGCAGAGAGTCAGTCCCTGCTTTTGATTCTTGTGGGTACATGCCCAGAAGTGGAACTGCTAGATCCTACAGTAATTCTGTGTTTATTTGTTTGAGGAACTGCCCTCCCATCATTCTGGGGATTTTCAGCACAAAAACAGAAATAATCAGGCAGATGGCAGGAGGTGCTGATGCTGAAAATCTGCATCCTAAGAAGCTGGGAGGAAAGGTGGCAGGGCCGGGACAGGCGCTGGCAAGACAACGCAGTAAAGAAGCAGGGTGTGAAACAGCGGGAGCCGGGCGTGGAGAAGGATCTGCAGCACGCAGAGTTTTAAACAGAAGTGCAGACGGTAGCAAGAAAAGCGAGAGGCAGACGTGGAACACGGGAATGGTGGCACGCTAGAAATACTCTCCCTCGCCTCTCCTTCCTGTGGACTTGCTCAAGGACACTTCTGCTTCCCCCACCTCCCACATAGGTCAGCTTCTCCCGGGTATCCACGAACACCTGTCTTTTTTTTTTTTTTTTTTCCTTTTTCTTTTCTTTCTTTCTTTTTTTTTTTTAAAGACAGGGTTTCACCATGTTGGTCTGGCTGGTCTTTAACTCCCGACCTCAGGTGATCCGCCTGCCTTGGCCTCCAAAGTGCTTGGGTTACAGGCGTGAGCCACCACACCCAGCCCACGAACACCTGTCTTTACCATAAATCCCCACTATCTTAAGATCGCTTGCATTAATCTTCGCTCCTTTAACGGAATGAGCCAATGGTTCACTTCTTTGAGTCCATTTCCTTAACTGCAAAATGGCAACAATTATCCCCGCCTTGCCTCACAGGGTGGTTTGGGGTTTAAAAGAGAAGTGTTAATAATACCTTGGACATCATAAGATGCTGTGCATGGTGATCACCATGACTTTTAGCCGGGGAGCTGGAAGCCCAAGCCATGCGTCTACAGTATCCACTTACCGGATGTTGTTGTGATTGGCCTTGGGCAACTTTTCACAAGCATTCCATAGAGCCTGAAGTTTCTTGTCTTGCTCCTGGATACTGGGAAATTGATAGGAAAAGTCATTGGTTGAGCACGAATCAATAAAATCTCATTGGAAATCATATTAGCCAATCACTGTAATATTTGATACCAAAGAACCAACCATCGTAACTGACCGTATCAGCAAGCTAGTATTAAAACAATTTGGTTATTATTATTTACCCCTCTGTGTTCGCCTTCTGTCTTGTCCTGTGCTATATAACAATGCTTCCTCTGCACACATCAGAGGCCCCAAGTGAATATGTGACAGAGGCCAGAGACCCGCTCTGGTGTGGCAGGGTTATGGGGCTGCAGGAAGAACCAGGATACCAGTCAGGGAGCTCGGCTTCTGGGCTATTGTGAGCCTGTATTCTGCAGGACTCCAGCATGGAAATAGATCGTGTAAGTGGCTTGCAATGATGAGTCCTTTTCGAGTTTCAGGCTGTCCTGCACTGTCCTTGTTCAGCTCTTGCTTCCCTACCCCCTTCTGCGACTCCCCGATATACCATCCTACGGCAGACCTGTCTGTGTCCTGCTGAGTTGGCCTGAAGTGCAATGTCATGTTAAGGTTGGTGTCGACCTCTGGTGAAACTCAGCTTCATCAGAGGCTCACAGTTATCAACCCAATAGCCTTAGGAGCTTTGAATCACAGAACCCAGACCAAGTCAATCGAAATCTCCGAAAAAAAAGGTTCAGGCATTAGTATCTTTAAAAAGCTTCCCAGGCCATGCTGATGCATGCAGAGGGTTAGAAACCACTGTTCTAGGAAAAATTACTCGGTTTAGATGAGGTGACCATAAGTCCTACAAACATGTTATCCAGCAGAAATAGGCTCTTGTTTTTCCCTGGTTCAAAGACACTGACCTCTTTGAGTCACCTGGATCATTCCTATTTCTTAATGGAGACCCACATTTGCAAATGAGATGGGAACCGGAGTATCTCTGGATCGGTCCTGAAGCACTGAGCTATCCTACCTTTATCTAACTTCGTATCACCAAGATCACTTATCTATCCAATGAATAAGAGTGACAGTTTCCATCAAAGGATATGTTCTCACTTGGCTTCATCCCTAGGACCACATTCTTGTCCTAGAGAGGCAAAAAGTGCTGTGGTTAAGTATAAAGGCCCTGACACTGTAATCCTTGGATTCACATTCCCACTCTACCATTTATTAGCCAGTAGGTAACCTGCAGTTAAATACCTGATCAACACCTCAAATTCCTCTTACGTAAAATGGGAGAAACAGCACACCCACTTCATAGGGTTCTTGTCAAAATTACATGAGTTAAAAACATATAATGAGCTTAAAACGATGTCAAGTCTCTAAGAAGCATTCAATAAGTGGCAACGCTTGTGATTATTAATATCATGAAACCCAGCACCCCCTTTTCACAATGAGATCAAAGAGGGTCCTATATTCAGCCAGCCTTTTACAATGCATAATCTCCATTCCACTTTGGAATCAAAATAGCATCACGCAACTTGGAGTTCGGCTTTTTCTGAATCTACACATTTGAGCCTGGTGTCCTTTCCAGGTCAGGTAGGTCTCTTCCAGGCCCAGTTCTTCAAAAAGTAGAAGATGCAGCATCAGACACAGTGGAATCACTGTTGCTTCTGACAGGTGACGTTGCTCATTACAACAAAATCCCATGACTAGAAATCTCTAGAAATCATTTCCTTTCACAGGCCCCTAGCTAAGGTGGCTATTCGTCCTACTCCTGCTCTCAGAAAACATTCTTCTCCCTCCTTCATCTCCTTCCTGGACTATCTCTACCCTCATCTCCACCATCCTTATGCTGGTACCAATTCTCCCACACTGGTGTTGTCTGGTTCCTCACTATGCAGGTCCATTAGCTCGGTAAAAGTATATTTCTCCAAACAATACTACTTACTTAAGACAGCTCTTACCAAGGCTCAAAAGAACACACAATGCCATCCTAATGCATGCATCACTGAGGAAATAAGCCAGGACTCAAAATAAATAAATATATAAACAAAAATCACACGTAGAACCCAGAGCACATGTTAGAGCTAGTGGCTTTGCCTGCTGTGTGCAGCCATATTCTTCACAACACACTGCTACAGCCCTAGGCCTGGCTTTGGGCTGTGGCCTCTCCCTTGCGTACACCTGCAGGAGGGGAGACAGAGGCCACTGCCCACATGTCATGACATGTGACCTCCCTTTAAGTTGGTCATTACTTATTGTTAAAATATATTCAGCTATTACAGGTGAGGGTCAAGACCCTGTGCCCACGCCCTTGTCAGAAGGAATCACTGCTATCAGCCTATGTGAGCCCTTCCAGAACTTTCTTTTATGCACTTACACACAAATACAGGTCCTCTTAAAATTCTATTGTTTTAAGTGTGCTGAGTGATTATTTTCCTTTTTATAACAATAGAATGTTACAGGAGTCCTTGCTAACTTGCTTTCATATCTGTTCATGCTAGCGTGAATAACTCTACCTATTTTTTTCACACAGTTTCACTCTTGTTGCTCAGGCTGGAGTGCCAAAGGCATGATCTCGGCTCACTGCAACCTCCGCCTCACAAGTTCAAGAGACTTGCCTGCCTCAGTCTGCCGAGTAGCTGGGATTACTGGCGTGCACCACCATGCCCGACCAATTTTTGTATTTTTAGTAGAGATGGGGTTTCACCACGTTGGCCAGGTTGGTCTCAAGCTCTGGACTTCAGGTGATCCACCTGCCTTGGCCTCCCAAAGTGCAGGGATTACAGGCATGAGCCACTGTGCCTGGCTCTACCTATTTTTTAATTGCTCCAGAGTGTGCCATGGTACAGACATCCACAGTTATGTAGTCGCTTCCAACCCCCTTCTCCAATGAACCTTTGGAAACTTCTAGGCTTCTGCTATCTCAGATAATGCCACCATCAATATCCTGGGACCTGCCTCCTTGGGCAAACATATAAGCACTCCTTCATGACAGAGATCAAGAAATGTGGTTGCAAGATCACAGGTCACATGCTTCTATAATTTTAGCACATAATTCCAAATAAACTGTAACTCACAGGACATTCCAAAACAAGGGGTACTCACTTGGAAGCCTGGATCCACTCGTCATAGAGTTCAAAGGTCATAAGAGGTTCTGGCAACTCTCGGAGGTAAGATTTCAAAGCTCCTAGGTATGAATAAATATTAGCCGTGAGCCGTTATGATGTGGCAGAGATAAGACCCACCAGCCAGCACTGCCCATGTGGGTTCCATTGGGGATGGGCCTACTGACCACCATGTCAACAGCAAATGGTGGCTTCCTACGGAAATGGGTGTGAGGCTCTGACAGGGGACCTGGCCCCTCTTACTTCCCACCATTACCTCATCTTCCCGTGGCACACTGGGAGGCCTTCCTTCAAGGGGCCAGAGCAACCAGCCCTGGAACTGGACGCTGACTGGACACATCTGAAGTGCATCGGACAACCACTGGCTGGAGTGTCCTGGACTTGTAGCCACACAGCCTCCCACCCACCCCTTCCCCGTGAGCCTCCGTGGCACACAGGAGCGCCGAGAGGCTGTGGGTCCCCACCTGCAATCGCATGGGGGTCTGCTGAGTACTCCTGCACATCCACCACGCAGCAGTCCAGAGCAGCTTTCAGCTTCTTCAGCTTCGAGGCAGAGGGGGCTACGCGGAAGAGTCCCTACCAACAGGACAGAGGGTCAGGGTGCAGCAACTCCAAGGTGCAACAGCGAGGCGCACAGACCGCACATCTGCCCCCTTCTCTTCTCCGAAACCTCTTAGATGCATTTTCCCAACACCATTTCCAAATCCCTCATGTACTCTGCAGCTTGCCGTCTGTTATAGCAGCCTTCCTGATACACTCGTCAAACATGTTTATGCTTTCTCAGTGTCTCCCTCGTTGCACATAAGCAACTTCAGAGCAGGAACTAGCTTTACCCACTGTTGTGTCTCCACAGCCTCCTTGGGCAAACATACAGGGGTAGCTCATCACACTGGCTCAGTAACTATTTACTGGGTAAATGAAGCTTGGGCACTTAGACATCTTATTCTTGTATGTGTCAGACAGATACATCTTGGAGCAGAATTTGGCTAAGACCTGGTCAGTCTGGTAAGTTGAATGTGAGAAGATCTATAGGGTGTGTGCGTGCGTGCGTGCGTGCGTGCGTGCGTGTATGTGTGTGTGTGTGTGTTGGGAGGCATCAGGGCTATACGTTTTGTTTTTGTTTAGTGGCATGATCTTGGCTCACTGCAGCCTCCACCTCCCGGGTTCAAGTAATTCTTGTGTCTCAGCCTCCCAAGTAGCTGTGGAGGCGCCTGCCACCTCACCCAGCTCATTTTTTGTATTTTTAGTAGACATGTGGTTTCACCAGGTTGGCCAGGCTAGTCTTGAACTCCTGACCTCTCAGCCTCCTGAAGTGCTGGGATTACAGGCATGAGCCACAGTGCCCAGCCTATAATTTTAGAATCAAATAGTCTATGCCTTCAGGGGAAGGGCAGGCTGAGTGGGGTGGTTTTTGAAATAGTTTCCTTCCATTCTTCTGCATTCCATTCTCAAGAGTTATTTTCAAATCACTGCCACTTCTTCCAAGTGAACCACTCCACCTCAGAGAGTGAAAGAGAGTTATGAAAAGAAGAAGAGGAGGAGATGGCTGTGTGGAGAAGGTGAATGCAGGTCAGGGTTGGAAAGAAACCTCCATGTCACAGGTAAGTTACACATGGGTTAAAGGCCTATCGGTTTCCGTTTCACCTGAGCTCCTTGCCTTCTGTGATGCAACCCACAGGCTGATAAACAAGCAGACAGAATAGACCTTGCTCCTTTAATCTTTTATGGCCATATAGACTTCCAATTTCCTTTAGAAAAAGTGTTCCTACATTGGAATATTGAGCTTCTGCCTTGCGAGGATCACTAACTCCCTTCTCAACATAGGGTACAGCAGATAAACAGATGTGCAAAGCTCTTTAGGCATGTATGTGAGGAAGCTACATGAATGTGTTTGGACGAGTCTATCAGTAAGGCTGCCATGACAAAGACAGCAAGCCGCAGAATACAGGGAAGGAGTCACCCAGGTCTTCATAAAACCATGCCCTTGCCAGGCAAGAGAGGCCAATAGGATTTGGTGACAGACAAGGCCAAAGAGAAGGAAATAAGAGTTGTCAAAGACAAGCCTTTAGATGTTTGATTGCATAACTGAGACGCATAAAAACGATGAGGAGGAGGGGACTGTCATATTAGCTAAGGAGTCCAGTTTTAGGGGTGTTAGAGGAAAGTTCTCATGGAAATGTTGAAGGACAGCACTGAGCACGAGTGAAGCCCTTCCACTGGAGGAATCCTGAACAGAGAACCCTCAGAGGTCAGAGGGGACCATGGTGCTGAACAGAGAACCCTGATGCCCCTGTGGTCAGAGGCCAGAAGGGACCAGGGGGGCCAAGGGAGCTAGAAGTGTCGAGGATGGTTACATGAGTAACACCAGGCAGTGCTGTGGCCAAGGAGGCTGGCAGTTAAGTCATCGGATTTGGCAATCCGGGGGTCCCTGGGGACCACGGAGGGCAGTTTTAGCCCAGTGGCAGGGGTGAAGCAACACTGCAGGCAGATCTGTAGGTGGTGAAAAAGATGCAGGAGCTGCAAATGTTGAGAGCTATTTTAGGAACTCGGGTAGCTTAAAAAACAAAACCAAAGAGACTGGGAAGAAATATGAGGCTGCGGCTGGGTTGAAAAGACAGATTTTTTTTTTTTTTTTTTTTAAGGCTAGGGGAAATTTGAGCCTATTTGTTATTAAAGGTAAATAGCTGACACAAAACAGGGAAAAATGCAAGTGAGTGAGTGAGGTCTGGTGAGAGATGGAATAGCCCAGAAAAAACAGAGCCGGGAGCTGGGAGATGTCTAAGGGGCTGCTCTTCAAGAACCAGTTTATGTTGATTCGATATTTGATGGTACTAAGAAGTTACTGTTACTTTTTGGGTATAATGATACTGTTTTTTTTTTTTTTTGAGACGGAGTCAAAAAAAAGTATTCATATTCATTTGTAATACTTCAGTATGTATCTCTGTAAGATAGGGGATGTTTTAAAATATAATTATTGTCTAGCACGGTGGCTCACACCCTGTAATCCCAGCAGTTTGGGAGGCTGAGGCAGGAGGATCACTTGAGCTCAGGAGTTCAAGACCAGTCTGGGCAACATAGTGAGACCCTCTCAAAAAAAAAAAAAATAGTTAAAATCTATAATAGGCTGGGCTTGGTGGCTCACACCCATAATCCCAGCAAGTTGGAAGGCCAAGGAGTGCAGATCACCTGAGGTCAGGAATTCGAGACCAGCCAGGCCAACATAGTGAAATCCTGTCTCTACTAAAAATACAAAAATTAGCCAGGCATGGTGGTGCATGCCTGTAATCCCAGCTACTCAGGAGGCTGAGGCAGGAGAATGGCTTGAACCCTGGAAGCAGAGGCTGCAGTGAGCTGAGATCACACCACTGCACTCCAGTCTGGGGGACAGAGCAAGACCCTGTCTCCAAAACTAAAATAATAAAATAAAATAATTTGATAACAAACATGCAAATGCCTGGCACATAAAATGTATTAAAAAGACACATTTCTTCCCATTCCTTTTGGAATATCCAGCATCTAGAACAGGTTGGCACACAGGAAGCATGCCACATACACCTGCATGTTCACTGGCTTCCTTCTCTTCCATAGCCCTTACTTTGGCCCATAAAACTTAGTGCTGCCTTAGAGACTTACACACTGTTTTGGATGAATGAGGCTTAATTGAAACACTAGACTCATCTCCTGCACTGAGTTTATAAGTCCCCCATCTCACTATTTCATACTTTGCTCATAAAACATGTACTGCATGCCCTAAATAAATACTGATTGGCTAATCAGATCAAAGGAAGATGGAGTACAGATGTTAAAACAGTCTATGGAAGAAACCAAAGATGAGCTGTATCTCCCAGGAAATGATTTTTGCAGCAATAAGACAACACTTTTCAAGAACTTCTCGGGCCAGGTGCGGTGGCTCATGCCTGTACTCTCAGCACTTTGGGAGGCTGGGGTGGGCAGATCACTTGAGGTCCGGAGTTCAAGACCAGTCTGGCCAACATGGTGAAATCTCGTCTCTACTAAAAATACAAAAAGTAGCCAGGCATGGTGGCAGACACCTGTAATCCCAGTTACTGTGAGGCTGAGGCTGGAGAATCGCTTGAACCTGGGAGGTGGAGGTTGCAGTGAGCCAAGATCGGGCACTGCATTCCAGCCTGGGTGACAAAGTGACACTGTCTCAAGAAGAAAAAAACAATTTCTCGTAGACTTTTTTACATGTGCATCTTAAAAAGTGTTTTCTAATATATCTATCAATCATGTTTTCAGGATCTCTATAAAAGAGCTGTGATAGAAAAGTTAAAGAGCCTTAACTTTTAAAGTTACCTAAAATTAGGTAATTTATTAAGCAAGAGGAAGAGGGAGAAGAGGAGGAGAAGGAAGATGCACAGAAGGAGGGGGAAAAGGTAGTAGTAATAGCAGCAGCAGAATGCCCAAATCATCCAAACACGTCCGACCTGAGGAAAGAATGGCTAGAATATGGCCATCCATTCCTCAATGGCCAGATCAGTCTCTCACAATGCTCCTCTCTTCTTGCCAAATGAAGGCTCATGGTAAAAGGCAGGGTTGATTTGTGTTCTGCAGAAGACGGGGCTGCACCACTGTTTCAGTCTGTTTGGATGCATGGGGGCTGGGTTGGAGATGGTACGGGAGGGACGGTCCTGTCGGCTCTGTCTCGTGGAAGGCGAGACCTGCCCGGGGCTGCGAGTGACCGTGCTCAGCCCTACCTCCTCCTGCATCCCACACTCAAGCAGCATGGTCACACACGCCTCGATGGGGAAGGCGATCTCCCGGCCGCTGATGGTGAGGTGCTCCTCCAGGGGCTTCCCGAATGAAGGTTTCTCCACCCAGGCCTCTGAGGGGAGGAGTGAGAAAGAGTCAGCTATTTGCCAGGGGCACTCATGCTGGAATCTCGCTTTCCTTTGTCGTCCAGATTCTCTTAAGATTACCAAAGAGAGGGAGGCCCAATTGAGTCTCCACTCTGTGGTTTTAGGGATGACAGGACTGGAGAGGGGGGGATGGCCAGCCAACTCCATCCAGGGCCACTAGGGTTAATGTTATACAGGCACCCCTATGCACCCCCAAATCAAGGCACCAGTGTGGAAGTAAGTCCTAGAGGCTCATCTACAGGTGATCCTGTTGGACAGAGTGGAAGGACAAATGACATACAAGGAATTCATCTCATCCGGAAAGGCAAGCAGGCTCCCCAGCCCTCCCTTCTCCAGGGAAGGCCTGCACTTACCCTGTTGTGCTTTGATCTGAGGCAACACAGCCTGCAATAGTGTCAGGGACTTCCTGTGGTATTCAGCTTGCACTTCTATTAGCTGAGAAGACACAAGGCAAGCATCGCCCTTAGCAAAGGGCAAGGACACAGGCTGCCATGGCATGCAAAGCACTTTGCAGGAAGGCGATTCCACATGGGGAAGGAAGTAGTCACCTGTACCCTCCTCTGATCTACCTAAAGTAATGAGCATGCTTCATCTTTAGCCTCCATAACAACAAAGTCACTACAAGTGGAAATTTGGGAAGTAGGAGCACCATAAAGGAACAGCGGGAGCTCCCCAGAGCTGGAACCTGGCTTAGAGAACTTGACTTCATCACCACCCTGCCTCCTCTGGCACCCCCTCCTCGATGCAAAAGGCAACAAAGAAAGGGGCAACCGTAGCTAATAGAAATGGAAAACACATTTAGAAATTCATTTGCTGAGCCAGGTGTGATGGCTCATGCCTCTAATCCCAGCTACTCAGGAGGCTGAGGCTGGAGGATCACTTGAACCCAGGAGTTCAAGACCAGCTTGGGCAACATAGCAAGACCCCATCTTTTAAAATAAGAAAAAAATTGTTTAAACAACTATAAAAAATAATTTGTTTATGAGATATATACAGGTTAAATGTCATTAACTTGTGTATATCTTTTGTTTCTGCAAAGCTAGTTTAACATATAACTGAACAGAAAATTTGTGGCTTGATCTGCAATCCTTTTCAAACACCCTGGAAGTGAGATTGCTTTGGTGAGAGTGATGCAGTCCAAAGAACAAATTCCTTCCAAGTATTCTATTTTGACCATCTCATTAATTAAAAGTGGCCAAGATGGTAATAAGAGCGCATGAAACGCATGAATGATAGTTACGTCATTTGTTTACTGTATCCTCCTCTCCCTTCCCCAAAACTGGGCATGTATAAGGGGAAGAGAGGAAATTAATCTGTTTGAAGGCTTATTGTGGAGTTTGGATACTAATGTCCCTAAGTAAAATTAAAGTAAAACTAATACGACTTTATTTAAAAATCAGAATATTGAAATAAATGGTACTCAAATGACAATCAGGCTCTCTAGTAAAACTTGGAATGTCGACGAGGTCATTAGTAAAACTCTAATGTCTTAGAGTTTCTAAAATTAAATACTGCCTTCACGAATACATCCAACAGAATACACTTGAAAAGATTCTACTACTTTAAAATAAACTTTCCAAGCTGGAAGTAATGTATATCAACTCCTTTTCCAGTAGGAGGGGCTTCTCTGCACTCTGAACCACTAATGAAATGTTGGAAAATTGCTCACAGTCCACAGGTGTTCCACCATACTTATCAAAGCATTTTAAACTTTTCAGACTTTCTTCCTTGTTTTTCTTCTCTTTACCCTCCCTCCTTATCATTCCTTTCCATCCCCGATTATAAATCAAGAGTTTTTAGGTCTTAGCATTTTATTCCTTTAAAGGCGGGTAAGCATAACTAATATTTTTTATTTGAACTTTGTAATCTCTTGCAGTTTTTTGACTGGCTTTGCATTTATCCTGGTAAACGGCCTGCGTCTTAATTATCTGCATCAGTTTGTCCAAGTTTAGATGATTCAGATCCTGTTTCTTACTGTCTAAATACTTTGCTTGATGAGAGGTAGGCCAACAGGCCACATCGATCATCATTTACCTACCAGTCATAAAAATCTAGATTAAAAAAACATATGTGCTTGGGGGAAGGAATTGCGTTCCTGTTTTTCTCAAGCCCCTTGCTAGCACAGACCACAGTTTCTTAATGTCAGCCCTACTGACATTTTGGACTCGGTAATTCATTGGTGTGGGAGCTGTCTTGTGCACTGTAGGATATTTAGAAGCATCTCTGACCTCTACCCTCTAAATGCCAGTAGCACCTCTCCCCACAACTATGACAATCAAAAATGTCTCCAGATATTGCCAACTACCCATCAGGGAAGGGAGCAAATTACTCCTGGCTGAGAACCACTGGACTGAGTTGCAATAATCCCAAGGGATGGGAATGAGTTTTATTCTAAGGTTTTCGAAGAAATCCATATCAGGAGCAATGGCAGGATTTATTCACTAGTAAAACGGTCAAAGCTCCCACCTTTTTCTAAGGAGTCCCTTCAACCAAGGGACTCCTTAGTTCCATGCCCACATTCCCTTCTCCTGTGAACAGCTTTTAAAGCAATCTCGCCTTTCTGGGCACTTACCGTTTGGAAGTAGTTTGCATAGTCAATTTCTTTGGCCACAAAACTGTACATGTCAGCTGAAAGCTGGTCCTGTGCAAGGTAAAATACACAAGCAAGGTAAAACATAAACCAATGGCAAGTGGCTAGTGCACAAGTCAGCATATCATAGGAGAAAGAGCCTTAAACACTGCTTAATCTCATTTTTAATAGTACTTGATATGTTGCAAACTTCCCAAAAGCATTTCCATATTTGTCAACCACAGCTCTGAAGAAGTTGTAAGTTTGAAAAGAACACCTGTGTCAGCCATTTCCCCAGAGATTCTGACATTTGGACCACAGCTAGAGTTAAAGGCAGAGCTGGTGTAGAGGAGTGACGTGCGAATTAATTCCATCCATCTCTACAGCTTGTGCCACCATTCTGACGCAAGCTCCTAGTACACATTCTGCTAGTGCTCTTTTGATGCTGCCATTTCTTCTCTCTGATCATTCCACTGCTCTGCTTCCTTTCATTCTCAATACTGACTCAATACTGATTGGTTAATCACAAGCATATGGGAAAGAGATGGAAATATACCAGTTTGGAGGAAGCTTGGATAAGAGGTGCACAGGGAAAGGACTGGTGACTCAAAACTTGACAAAGTCTGGACTCATGCAGTATTGCACACAAATCTAATGGTGTTATTAATCCTTCACTATTCAGCTGGCCATGAGATTGGGTGATCCAATGCTGCACTGAAATCTGGAATGCTTTGTCCTCCAAGGTTTTCAGTTCTATGGAATCACCCATAGTATGGCATAATAGAAGTACATTTTGAGCAGAATGTCGACTCTGTCATTAACCATATTTTTGAGCATGTCATTTGTCTGAACTTGCTTGCTCAAGTCATGAGATCTCTAAGATTCCTCTCTGTGTAGCTGCTCTAGGCTGGAGATCCTTAGAAGAGGCAGTTAGTTGAGGAGAGAAAAGCCTACGTATTGAGGTAGGGGCAAACACGGCAACAGCACAAGAAAGCTGACCTAGATGCTGAATTAATGAAAACAGATAACTATACACTTCAGGAAGAGCCTGTTTCATGAAACCTCAAGCAATCTGCACCAACCCCATAACCCTCAGTCTCTCTAGCTGCTAATTAAGCTATTCTCAGTAAGAACACTGGGATGTACACGAGCAATCTGTTTCCTTTTTAGTATCTGTGACAGGCAAGCAATTGCTGAGAATGTCATTTAAGAGTTCTTGTACACAAGGCAACAGAACCAAGTCACAGAGTTAAAACAGGAAATGTGTTCTCTAGAGAGCTTGAAGTACAAATTAGACAATGCTATGCTTGGTCCAGTTTCACAGAAGAAAGAAAGAATAAAATAAATTAACATTCGTTGGGTCTAGATGCCAGGCACAATGTTACAAAAAATTCTCCTCTAACTCTCTTCGGTTAAGTATTGAATTTCCAATTTCAAAGCCATAGATAGCAAGAGATCAAGGATCTTATCTGTCAGTCACTCGCTATCTCAAAGCACTTAGCATAGTAGGGGCTCCACAACTATTTGCTGAATGAACAGATGAAAAAAAAAATCAAGGCTAATGGACGGTAAATTTCCCAAAGAATAACAAAATGGGATCAAAGATCACCTTGGCTCCACTTCACCAGAGGTCCCTTAAATGAATGCTTTTGTAGGCTGCCAAGTTGGGAATCAACCTTATCTGTCTTCCCTGAAGCAGCTTTGCTCAGGAGACGTCCAACACCAGCCAGACGGCTGGAGGATGATATTGCAAGTCAGAGAAAAACAAAAGCGTTAAGTGATACAAATGGCTGAGCAGACAGAGGAAAGGAAAGGAGGCCCTGAAGGACTAAACGTTGCTTCAACTACACCTTCAACATCTCTGCATCTGTGCTTCTCTAACAGATGATGCTACAAAAATCTGTATGCGCCCTCAGAAAGAAGAAAAGATTTTTAAAGATGTGGTTGGATTACTGTGCTATTAAGCTAACAATATGGGTTCCAAAAAAAAACCACACACACAAAGGACACAAACTCATCATTTTTTATGGCTGCATAGTATTCCATGGTGTAGGGACATGGATGAACCTGGAAACCATCATTCTCAGCAAACTGACACAAGAACAGAAAATCAAACACCGCATGTTCTCACTCATAGGTGGGTGTTGAACAATGAGAACACATGGACACAGGGAGGGGAGTATCACACACTGGAGTCTGTCGGTGGAGGAATAGGGGAGGGACAGTGGGGGGCGGGGAGTTGGGGAGGGATAACATGGGGAGAAATGCCAGATATAGTAGATGGGGAGGAAGGCAGCGAACCACACTGCCATGTATGAGCCTATGAAACAATCTTACATGTTCTTCACATGTACCCCAAAACTTAAAGTGCAATTAAAAAAAAAAATACACACATACACTCTTCAAAGTAAGAAGGAAACTATAAATCAAATTCTCATTTATCTAAATCATTAGCAAATTTTCTTTATAAAGGTAAAAAGCCCTTTCAACATTAATCACCAGAGTTTAATGCATTTTGAAAAATCATGTTTTCTCATTTTGCAACTAATCCACATTCAGAAAAATAAAAAAAGTAACCAAATTAACCTGTAATCCCACTAGGCAACTATTTTTTTTAATATATAGCTAACCAAATGTCCCAGAATTGTTCATGAATAGAGCAGATTGTGTCTATGGTATGAAAATGTTGTATTTATCAGATGAAACTTCATTGTATTTGGATTTTCTTCATGCTGGAATGTCTGAAATAGTTCCTAAGTTTTAATCATGTGACTGTGTAATGTGTTTTGAAAGCTAGTAATTCAAAGCTCCAGTAATTCTTCCACATTAACTTTTGAAATACTTTTTCATTCTTTGAAAAATTTCTTACAATTATATCTACTTACTACAGTACTAATCAAACAAATTCTGGGAAATTTAAAATGTTTTTAATAGTAACTCTTCTCATCTAGAAACAACTCTCAATTTTATATATGTTCTTGTCATTATATTGTCAAATAGTGTCTTCTTGTCAAATTGTGTAAGTAATATTTTACAGTTCATGAGTTTGTGGTAGAACAGTTCATGATTTTACAGTAGAATTTTTTTTTTCTGTCACCCAGGCTGGAGTACAATGGTACAATCTCAGCTCACTACATTCTCCACCTCCTGGGTTCAAGTGATTCTCCTGCCTCAGCCTCCTGAGTAGCTGGGACCACGGGCATGTGCCACCATGCCTGGCTAACTTTTATACTTTTAGTAGAGATGGGGTTTCACCATGTTGGTCAGGCCTAGTCTTAAACTCCTGACCTCAGGGATCTGCCCATCTTAGCCTCCCAAAGTGCTGGAATTATAGGCGTGAGCCACCATGCCCGAACAATGGTAGTATTTTAAATATTCTGTTGTTTAAAAAAACCTCTAAGATATTTATAAACACTGGTTTTTAAAATAATTTTTCTTGATGAAAAGCACACCTTGATTTTTACTGTTGATTTCCAGCTTCTGGTCCAGCACGTAGGGGGCTTTGAAGTCAGTCCTAACAGGTAAAAAGCTGAACAAACTAAAACTCAACAACTCTTAAATTTGTCAGAGAAGTGAGTTCACAGAGTAAACTGCTGCCCTGAAAACTGGAGACACAGGCAGGCAAACACAAAAATCACAACTCACTGGAGCAGCAAACTATCAGCAGAAACCTCTGCGGAAATCAGTACTGGGGTGGGAAAACCAGTACTGTAATTGACAAATTGCTAGAGGCCCAGTGTGGATAAATCTGGAAAGTTAAATCCTCCAGGGGAACCCAGTCATGAGAGGGCCCACTTTTACCTCCAGGAGCTCTAAGAGCATGTTCTCACAGATAATTTCAAAGAAAAATTCTCTCCTGCTTTCAGCTGCAGGAGGAAAAAGTAGCCATTTTGAAATTTGCTGTAGTACTCCATTCTTAACAAGGTCTGCCCTAAAGAGAAAGTATTTTAACAAAGCCTAAACTATTGGGCTTTTGAAATTGCCTAACCTACCTGGAGGAAGGGAAATACTGAACTCCAACTTCCTCTAGCCACTCTGTCCCACCTAAGAAAGGAATAACAATAAAAACAACAACAAAATAAGAGGCACTAGTGAAATTCACAGCTCTAAGGCACAGGCTCACCAAAAGAAAGGGGCCTATCATAGCACTATGAATGCTTCCCCGAACCACAACTTACCACATCACCAAAGAACTGTTTACCACTGTTTCTTTTATAATACATCATACCCACCTTTCAACAAAAAAATTACAAACACAGTAAAAGGCAAAAAAGAAATTAAAGAAACTGAACAAGGATCAGAACCATAATTGAAATAGCCAAAATCCAAAACACTGACAACACTAAATGCGGGCACAGATGTGGAGCAACGGGACCTCTCATTTACTACTGATGGGAATGCAAAGAGTATAGTCACTTTGGAAGACAGTATGACAGTTTCTTACAAAGCTAAACATACTCTCACCATATGATCCAGCAATTATGCTCTTTGGCATTTGCCCAAATGAATGGAAAACGTATGTCCCACAAAAGCTTGCATGTGGATGTTTACAGCATCTTTGTTCATAATTGCCCAAACTTGGCAACCACAAAAATGTCCTTCCGTAGGCGAATAGATAAACTGTGGTACATCCAGACAATGAAATATTATTCAGTGCTAAAAAGAAATGAGCTGTTAAGCCATGAAAAGACTTGAAGGAAACTTAAATGCATATTACTACATGAAAGAAGCCAGTCTGAAAAGGCTACATACTGTAGGATTCCAGCTATAAGACTTTTGGGAAAAGGCAAAACCATGGAAACAAAAAGATCAGTGGTTGTCAAGGGTTAGCAGGGAGGAATGAATAGGAGGAGCAGAGGACTTGCAATGAAATTATTCTCCAGGATGCTATAATGGTAGATACATTTGCATACATTTGTCAAAGCCCCTAGAATATATAACACTAGAAGTGAATCCCTAAGTAGACTATGAACTATGGAAGACAACGATGTGCCAATACAGGTTTATCAGTTGTAACAACTCTACCACTATGTGTGTGATGTTGACAATGGGGGAGGTTGTGTATGTTTGCA